TACTACTTCATGCTAATTCATTGCAAGCAAAATGTGGGACCACCATCTCAACATACAAATGAAATATGCAACACGCTCTAAGTGTTGCGCAGTCGAACCGCACAAATATTTACGAAAATTTGTGAAAAGGAATGCAGAAAACTAGACTCGAGTTGCTGGACTCTTTTTGACCGTGTGAATGCACAGACGACACCAAAAGAGAATTTGAAAAAATTATACTTTTTGAGTCCTAATGTAAAAGTGCACTTTCAATTCAATTTCTTTATATGCTCTTGAATTGTCTCGCTTTCCATTTACATACATGCATTTCCCGCTATACAGTTTCTGTTTCCTTGTTTGTGCGATTTATATGTTTGCCATTCTCCTTCGCATAAAGGGTAGCCATAAACTACATACATATGTTAAGTTATCTACATGCTTGTTGTTTGTAAACTGCAGTGTGCAGTTCCCTATTCTCCTGTGCTGATCTGTACGGTAAATGGCAATATTTGTGCATATAAGTTCTGGCAAATTATATTCGAGCTTTGTCACCGATCAGCCAACCAGAAAGGTGGAAGGACACACTGAGGTAAGTGAAAATATATATAATTCTTTGAGAGGGCATAATTTAAATGCTTGTGTATTTAGAAATAAACCGGAAACCAAATATGCGTTAAATTCGCCGCACATTGGTGACAGTACCAATTACAGTAATCTATCTTAATTTGGAGCTTAGTTAAACACATAACGGTATTAGTTTTTACTCAAGTTATCTCTCTCACGAACGGGAGGACAGATAATCGTGCGGAACTCAAACGACTTGTCATACTGATCATTTGTACATAGTATATAATATATCTATATATCTCTATATCTATATCTACTAGTTTTAGGTAAAACAACCATTAGTGAATAGATAAAACGTGTTTTGAGAGTATGAAAGGAGTTTGTGAGTGGAATTTATTCTTTGGCACTTTTGGCACTTAACAAATTAGATGTTGTATACAGCGTGACCAAAAACAACGAATTTTTTAGATACAGAATACCCAATGCACAATATATTAAATTTCAAAGATATTATTGATTCAAAAATGTTTCAGCGAACTCAATACAATATTACGGCTGCTTAGAAACATCATAAAATACTCCTTTATGCTAGTTTATATTCTTTTCTCGAAATATTATTATTACTCGTTTTAATCAAGAGTTGCGCGTGTAAAATATATACATTACTCACAATAATTTTAAATTTTAAGCTGAATTTTTTCTGTAAATCCGTCCGTCCCTCCGTGCAAGCAGTAACTTGAGTAAAAATTGAGATATCTTTATGAAACTTGGTATACATGTTTCTTGGTACCGTAAGACGGTTAGTATTGTAGATGGGCGTAATCGCACCACTGCCACGCCCACAAAGCGCCATTATTCAAAATCAAATAAATTGCCATAACAAAGCTCCACACTAAGATACATGACTGTTATTTGATATACAAGATTACATTAGGAGGGCATCTGCAGATAAAATTCTTTTTAGTGGGCGTGGTCCCGCCTCTAATAAGTTTAATGTGTATATCTTCTATACCGCTATGAAAATGAGTGAAATCGGGTGACAACCCCGTCCACTCCCCATATAACGCTACTTAAAACTTCTAAAAGCGTGATAAGTCAAGCACTTAACACGCCAGTTGCGAGAGTATAAAATGTTCGGTTACATCCGAACTTAGCCCTTCCTTACTTGTTTTACATCTTTTTGAACTTGAAAGTTCAGATCCTTTTAAATCTTTCTATTTTTATTTTACAACATGACGAACAACACAATAAATAAGATGGAAATCAGCTGTTTTGTAGATGACCAGATTTTCATCACATAATTTACTAAATTGTTTACAGTGTTTTACAATTACTTACTTTGAATTATTTACAATGTAAGTGTAAAAAATGTGAAAATATGTGTAAATGCACAACTCTGAGTTAATCCCTCAGAGAACATCGTCGCAGTAAAATTTGCATTAATACCAAAAATTTCACCGACTTTTTCTCCCAATTCAGCACGATTACTAGCTTCTGGAAGACCCGGCCTTTGGTTGTCATTTATATTATTACGACTATTTTTTTTAAACTACGTATAAACTTTAGGACGACTCACACAATCATCATGGATGGATTTACATGGATACTTTATAAAGTCTGCGACACTTCCTTCTAACTTACAAACTTCGTGATAATCCTAATTATAACAACAATTGTTTCATAGGGCAATAAGCACTTTCATTTTTAAACGCATTAGCACCGAGTTGTTGCGTAAGTTCATATAGTAATACACAATGTCAAAAGCACTGCTGGGTTTTAATGTGAGTCAGGTAAATGAAATAATTCAGCACATTTAAATAACCGCTGTTGCCGTAGTCGTACACATAATTAACATAACCTGCATAATATGATTGCTTACGCTTACCAACCATATGTATGTAAATGAGCTGTTTGATCCAATTAAATTTTCGTCTAGTTTGCTTAGTTGCTTTCTTTTTTACTTGCCTCTACTTATATCCATATAATAACTAATTTTCTCAGCGTCAGTGGCTTTATTATTAAAATATTACTAAGCAGATAATACGAGTAGGAGTTAAGTCGCATGGGAAATTATTCGTTGACTAAGTGCTTGCAGATGGCACTCGTTTGTGTTGCTGTTGTACGAATGTATGTGCCGACGTCGACTTTCGAAATCATATGCATTTAGTTGCACCGACTTAGCTGAAGACAAACTGCTAGAGTGTGACACATATTTAAATATATCAAGTTACTAGGAAAGATGTTGGAGCATTTCAAAATAAAGGGATTATTATATTAGTCCATTTGTATGGACTACACTAACCGAATGTACGCGATCGTATGTGCTGTTGTTGCCGCCACCCAAGCTGGAAGCCATCGTCTCTCGAAAGCTGGACTGATCCCTAGCAAAGCCATTGTTGTAGTATACGCTCCGTCGCTTGCCCCAGAGTATATCTTTGAAGGCAACTCTGTACCGGTGCGACATCACATTATACACAATCGGATTGATCGTGCTAAGAATAAAAGAGAAAAATAAACATGGTTCATTAATTTGCTTGTAAATGGTTATTTAAGAGCAAGATTTAAAAATTAGCATACAATAAGTCCTCGCATTTTGAGGGGTTTATGATATGAAGAAATTGTCGACGGTGAAATTTATTTTATATACAGTTGGTTTCGTATCTTTTTTTTTTTCTCAACTGGAAAAAACATATAAGCTAATATATTGGCGTTCAGGTGATAGTTTCAAAATAAATATTATATGATGAACTGTAAAATGTAGGTTATTTATATTTATTAATTGATTTAAACATAAGGGTTGCCTGACAACGTCAATATATGTATTTAGTCATGCCATAAATTCTGTTACGAAGGATACATATACCGACTAGATTAATGTCCAGACTTATTAGAGATGATCTCCATATGAATGCCTATCGTCGGTGAACTGGATATCTACTGAAAACGCGCTTGAAGCAAATTAGGCTCGCTCAACAGATGCAAGCGGCTTCTTTAGTGGCACGCGGTTAACGGCGATGAAAGTATATTTTTATACTCTCGCAACCTGTTGCTACAGAGTATAATAGTTTTGTTCACCAAACGGTTGTTTGTATCACCTAAAACTAATCGAGTTAGATATAGGGTTATATTATATATATATAAATGATCAGGATGAAGAGGCGAGTTGAAATCCGGGTGACTGTCTGTCCGTTCGTGCAAGCTCTAACTTGAGTAAAAGTTGAGATATCTTTACGAAACTTGGTAGACATGTTTCTTGGTACCGTGAGACGGTTGGTATTGTAGATGGGCGTAATCGGACCACTGCCACGCCCACAAAATGCCATTGATCAAAAACAAATAAATTGCCATAACTAAGCTCCGCAATAAGATACAAGACTCTTATTTGGTACACACGATCATATTAAAGAGGGGCGTCTGCAGTTAAAATTTGTTTTAAAGTGGGCGTGGTCCCGCCCCTAATAAATTTAATATGCATATCTCCTAAACCGCTAAAGCTATAATAACAAAATTTACTGGAAGTAAATGTGTTAGAACCTCTACCTACAGTGTGAAAATAGTTGAAATCGGGTGGCAACTCCACCCAGTCCCCATATAACGCTACTGTTAAAAACTACTAAAAGCGCGATAAACCAAGCACTTAACACGCCAGAGACATTAAGTTTTATCTCTGGGATGGTATAAGATGACTTTATAGGAACCGCGTTCAAAAGTAGACAGTGGGCGTGGCACCGCCCACTTTTAGGTGAAAACCCATATCTTGGGATCTGCTTCTCCGATTTCAACCAAATTCGGTACATAACATTCTTCTCATATTTCTATAATATAGTGCGAAAATGGGCGAAATGGGACTACAACCACGCTTATTTCCCATATAACACCATTTTCAATTCCATCTGATTCTTTCACTTTCCACTATGCATATCAAGCAACAACGATTATATCGCGGTAAAACTTTGCGTGAATAATACGTTTAAAGTATGCAACCTTGTGACCAAAAATTGTCTAAATCGAACCAAAACTGTTCAAGCCCCTAAGTACTAAATATGTGCACCCCAGTGCCTATAGTTGACCTTCTACCGAAAATATCAGTCAATCCACAAAGAAATCTCAAACGAGTATACCATTTGACTATGCGAGAGTACAAAATGTTCGGTTACATCCGTACTTAGCCCTTCCTTACTTGTTACAGATAAAAAGAATATGAATAAGTTTTTAATAAGCAAAACGACAAAAGACTATAAATATGTCACCCCAAGGGTTCATGGTCATCATCCAGCTGCTGTAGTGGTTTGGCCCCCTGCAAATGTGTTACACCTCTTTTCTTCACGTCTAAAAAATTGGGCAAAAGCGTACGAGCGGCATGTGTTAGAAGACGTGGTGACGCAGTTAAGCAATACTTTCTTCGATGGAGAGCATTCGGTCTTCCAACAAGATGCAAAACACACAATGCAAAAACAACTCAGCAGTGGCTTAAAAACAAAATATTCCTGGTTTCAAAACTGCAGATGATTGGACATCTGAAAGTCCAAACTTGAATCCATTGGTTAGAGAAAAAATTCCTTTTTTCGACATCGTCGCCAATACCAATAGAAAATGTGCGTTCTGCTGTTGAACAGTGGCCGTATCGTTTGAGAGCCTATGTGAAAGCGAAATTTCGAATAAAATTTTGTACATCGCTCATTTAATATATGCATTATTAACCAAAATTAACTTTATAAACAAAATGTATTACATTTTGAACTTGTAACAGAATTAATATGTCTCATTAAATTAGTCCACCTCTCTAGTTGAGCAAAATTCGTGCCGAACAAAACTTTTATAATGCCTACATATATGTAAAATTGGAGCAATACTGATCTTCCCGCAGGGCCAAAGGTAATTTTCGCAAAGCTTCATCAAGATATTAAACTGTGCAATTATAAGATTTGTTCAGTAAAGGTACAGATGTTCAGAAAATCCGACATGATTGTTTAACGGTATTCTTGTCATTTTGAAATACTCTATGCATTTTTGTTATTTCGACAACTAGGTATAACAAGAAGCCCCTAGATGAGCATTAGGTGCTATTACACCGTTACGAGGTCCTCGCACGTGTATTTCTTAACACTGTCCAACATCAATTACTACTCTATAGCTCTCTTCCCCTTCATCTAAATTAATTCCTTCTCTTGTGCCATACCTAACAGGTCATCAACAACACATTACTTTCCTATTTTTACTATTTTTTTATCATTTTCACTTATTTAATTGATATGATTACTTTAACTTTTTGCTTCTTATTTTATTTGTCTGTTCAATTTTTTCCGCTTTGACAGTTTATAGTGTCTAAATCAGCTGTGATGTGATCCCTACTGACAAACAGATGGCGCTAAATCAGAGTCGCACAGAGAGAGTCCGAGTAGATTAGCTTCAAATCTCTTCGGTGACGAGATTAACAAGTCTCAGTTTTGTATGGCGAAATCTTGATAAATCTAGTAGATGAGTAAAATAAACTACTTAACAGCCTAATTCTCGCGATTAACATAAATGTCGGTTGAAACATGGTATAAGAACAAAATTAAGATACAAAACTGTAATTTTTCAATGGATCACAGTAGCGAGGGACACCTGTGAGTTTACTTTTTTTAAGTGGGCGTGTTCCTCTCCGTAAATAGTTTAATGTACATATCTTCCAAAACCCTTAATCGAAATCAACCAAAATTGATGACAAGAAATCTCCTTAGCGTTTTTTCATATACTGTGAAAATGGGTAAAATCAGATAATAAGCACGCCCTCTCCCCATATAGCGGTTATGTTAAAAACTACTAAATCTCACCATCTCACTGAATAAATGCGTCATAACCATTAAATTTCGCAACGAAGATAATGGGGAAAAGCTTAATAGGAGCAGATGTAAAAAGCGGACAACGGGTGTATTACCGCCCACCTCTAGGTGAAATTCTTTATCTCAGGAACTATTTTGAAATATCGAGAAAATTTTATGTGTGAGGCAGCATAAATATTCTTATCGTACACTGTGGACATGGGCAAAATCGGATAACTTGCACGCCTATTTCCCATATAACGAAATTCTAAATTCCATCTGATTTTTTTTAGAGTATACAAATCAAACATCAATGAAGTTATCAGAATAAAACTTAGCACAAATATTTCATCTGACATCCAAAAGTTGACGAAATCGAATTATAGCTTTCCAAGGACACAGGCACTAAACATGTGGACACCAGCGCATATGGTTAATTTTTTAACGAACATCTCGGTCAATCTTTGAGGTATCTTATTGAAACTCGTAAAGATATTTTTTGACAGTAAAATCGGGTCAGTACTTCATTTAGCCCCCATATACCTAATATAAATATTTTCGAACTTTCGGTTGACTTTACACCGCATATATCGGCCAATATATAAGGAATCTTAGTACAATTCGCTACGAATCTCTTTCTAATAACAATCTCTTGTCTAAAATGGATGAAATCGGACTAATTTTCCCCTTTGTTTAATATAAAGTTTTGCCAACACCTAAAGGTATTTCCACGGCGTTGATCCTTGCAAGGTTACACCCGAACTTAGCACTTCCTTACTTGTTTAAATTTGTTTGCTACCTTTGGCGATTAGTAAAGACATATGTGCATACATAGTGGTACCTTAAGATTTACGATAACCAAACAGCTGCTAAAGCGTTAGCATTTGTTTGTATATGCTCTCGTGATAAATAACTTTGCTTTCCACAGCTAAAATGCTCCAATGTTTACACCAACTTATTTACACAGTTTTGTTTTCATCTGCTTCCTAATTGTTACTTCAGTGCCTTGTCTCTTTTTTCTGTTAAAGAGACTTAAACAGTTTTATCAAAGCAAACATGACAAAAACTACTTGCAAAGACATACACTCTTTCTGCTGCCCTCCACTCACCAGAGATGAAATACTTAAAATAAAGTGTAAACATCCATGTGGTCACATCTACTACATATATCTAAGTATATATTATTTATGTAAATACATGTGCACATAAATAAAAATAAGTCACATATAAAATAAAATATTTGAAATTTTTGAAATTTATCTGAGTACTTACCACGACACATAGTACGTGAAGCCGGCGATGGAGAACAGCCACTCGTTTATCTCTTGGAAATTGTTTTGTTCTTTGGCATATAGGAACCATAATCGTTGCATGTGGAATGGCAGCCAGCAAATGAAAAAGGTCACTACAACGGCAGCTGCAAGAGACAGTGGAGAACAAAGGACAATATTTTAAAAAAACTATACATGCATATATTTATATGTATATATGTACATATGTATATATTGTCAGAATTTATTGTATGGCATTAAAATGCATAAGTATATAATGATGCATTTTAAAAAACAAAATATGGATTTATCCCGTTCCAGAAAGTTTAAGGTCATGTAGGATAAGTATCGACAATTTATATTTGAGGACATAATGTTGGCAACAAATATCTAAACACGTTTGGGGCTAGTTGCTGAAGAAAATCATTCAATTTGGAGACTAACTTTTAAAATTATAGAAAGAAAATAAAGTTTACGTTACAAAGTTCTGATCTGCAAATGAAGCCTTTGTTCGAGTCCTCAGTGAGTGTCATGTGCCGGAGGCTAAATAAACTTCAGAGTTTAAAACAAGACTTGGTAATTTGTGAAACTTTGTTCAATAAGCACCCTAGTTTCCCTTCTTATTAACCTTTAGTTTTTATAACCTGGGATATTAAGTTTGCCACGAAGTTTATAACTCCGACAAATAAAAGTCGGATACCACATAAAATACAATACATAGATAAATGCTCAGTTTGACGAACTTAGTTGATTTACCCATGTCAGTCCGCCTGTATGGACATTAACTAATCCCTCAGGTTTTGAAATATCGACCTGAAATTTTGAAAACTGAAAATATCGGTAAACTATATCATAAAGTTGCTATACAAATGTCCAATCAAACTCAAGTCCTTGAAAGGAAAACTTTTTTATTTGAGAATCTATCATTTGCGAATATACAGTATTGTTCAGAGCGGACCACTATAGCATATAGCTGCCATACAAACTGACCGATCGAAATCAAAATAAAGATCTTTTTACACCCTTTTATACTATTGTTTTTATACTCTCGCAACCTGTTGCTACAGAGTATAATAGTTTTGTTCACCTAAAGGTTGTTTGTATCACCTAAAACTAATCGAGTTAGATATAGGGATAAATATATATATGATCACGATGAAGAGACGAGTTGAAATCCGGGTGACTGTCTGTCCGTCCGTCCGTCCGTCCGTCCGTGCAAGCTCTAACCTGAGTAAAAATTGAGATATCTTTATGAAACTTGGTAGACATATTTCTTGGTACCGTGAGACGGTTGGTATTGCAGATGGGCGGAATCGGACCACTGCCACGCCCACAAAACGTCATTATTCAAAAACAAATAAATTGCCAGAACTAAGCTCCACAAAAAGATAAATACTCTTATTTGGTATACAGGATCACAGTACGGATGGGCATCTGCAGTTAAATTTTTTTTTTTAAGTGGGCGTGGTCCCGCCCCTAATAGGTTTAATGTGCATATCTCCTAAACCGCTAACGCTATAATAACAAAATTCACTGGAAGCAAATGTTGTTAGAATTTCAACCTATCGTGTGAAAATAGTTGAAATCGGGTGGCAACTCCGCCCACTCCCCATATAACGGTACTGTAAAAAACTACTAAAAGCGCGATAAATCAAGCACTTAACACGCCAGAGACATTAAATTTTATCTCTGGGATGGTATGAGATGACTTTGGAGAAATCGAGTTCAAAATTAGACAGTGGGCGTGGCACCGCCCACTTTTAGGTGAAAACCCATATCTTCGGATCTGCTTAACCGATTTCAACCAAATTCGGTGCATAACGTTCTTTTCATATTTCTATGTCATAGTGCATTATACCTATTAGGGACGGGAGTCTTGTATCTTATTGCGGAGCTTAGTTATGGCAATTTATTTGTTTTTGATTAATTGCATTTTGTGGGCGTGGCAAACATGTCTACCAAGTTTCATAAAGATATCTCATTTTTTACTCAAGTTAGAGCTTGCACGGACGGACGGACAGACGGATTTCAACTCGCCTCTTTATCCTGATCATTTATATATATATAACCCTATATCTAACTCGATTAGTTTTAGGTGATACAAACAACCGTTAGGTGAACAACACTATTATACTCTGTAGCAACAGGTTGCGAGAGTATAACAAGAAAATTTACAAAATTAATTGGTAAACTATTTTTTAATAACAATTAATTCAATAAATAGTATTAATAAACTAAAAGTTGTTATTTCCTTCGAAGTTATTAACAAAGCGCCGCCAACTTTGCTGTGCTTTGCTTTAAACAATAACTCACGCCAAATTTCGTCGATTTTGTCAAATAAAAAAGTTTTCCAAACAAGATATATGGCAGCTATATGCTATAGTTGTCCTAAATCGACGATTCGGACAAATGAGCAGTTTCTTGGGAAGAAAAGGATGTGTGGGAAATTTCAGATAGGTTTCTCTAAACTGGGACTTGTTTGCGTGTATACAGACGAACATAGCTAAATCGACTCAGCTCATGCTGATCACTTAAATAACCATACATTTATTAAAACGTTCATAAGATGGGTACAAAAATACTCATAGCTTTGTCAATTTTACTTCAATTGAATTGAAATTTGACACAACATTCTTAAAATATTGTGCATTCATATAGGACAATAAATATTAGAAAAAATAATGTTTAACCCTACAATAACAGCCTCTTAAGGGGGCTAAGCAGTTGTAACTCAAAAGGCTTATTGTCAATTTTCATATCTATTGTCCTGTTATGAGCCCGTTAGCAAATGGGTCTGAGAAAGCACTACAGTTCTTACAGAATCAACATTTATTTATCCAATAGTTCGGCCAATGAGTCGGAATTGTTCACGACGTGAGGTGTAATGTTTTGGAAAATTGTGAGTGATTCTTCTGTAAGCCCAATTCACATGTCGTTTTAATAAAATCTCTATGCTCTTATGTATGGCTTAATAAATCCACTAACTTTCATATAAAAGGTGTTTTTTTTTTAGAGAAATAGAACATTAAATTGCAATGAAACAATGATGGATTATTTGATTGACATGACTTTTATTTATCCGCAAGATAATCTTGTGGCATTACATTTTAAATATGATTTCTAGCATATGACCGCCACGGCTGGCGCGGATGTAGTCCAATCGGGGCGTCCAATTTTCGACGCCTTTTTCAACATTTGTGGTCGTATATCGGCAATAACACGGATAGACCATGACTTTACATAACCCCACAGAAAGTAGTCGAGCGGTGTTAAATCACAAGATCTTGGAGGCCAATTCACAGGTCCAAAACGTGAAATTAGGCGGTCACCAAACGTGTCTTTCAATAAATCGATTGTGGCACGAGCTGTGTGACATGTTGCGTCGTCTTGTTGGAACCACAGCTCCTGGACATCATGGTTGTTCAATTCAGGAATGAAAAAGTTAGTAATCATTATCTCTATACCGATCACCATTTACTGTAATGTTCTGGCCATCATCGTTTTTGAAGAAATACGGACCAATGATTACACCAGGCCATAAAGTCAGTTTTTCTGGATGTAACGGTGTTTCGACATACACTTGAGGATTAGCTCCACTCCAAATGCGGCAGTTTTGTTTGTTGACTGTTCAACCAGAAGCGCGCTTCATCGTATCATACGATAAAATGAACGTAGTGCGGATTGCGTACAAAACCATTATTTTCGAAATAAAACTGCACTATTTGCAAGCCTTGTTCAGGCGTGAGTCTATTCATGATAAATTGCCAAGCCAAACTGAGAATAAATTACTTTACAGCTGTTAAATCGGTCGCCATCTTGAACATAAATGCCAACTTAAAGTTCATTACCTCGAAAAAAAAACCCGTTACATTCCAATCAATCCATATTGTAACATAAGATGCCTGATTGCTAAGTTACTTTATGAGAAGTTTGGCATTTCAATTTCACAAACCTAATTGCTCACTTCGTAACTTAACGCTCGTCAAATTACTATGAGATTGTCGCAGTGCAAACTTATTTATTAAACATTTGAAATTCGAAGTGCCTGCTTGTACTTCCAACCACCTGGCACTTCGGCTGTTTAGACCCAAGAGCTGTTTTCTTACAATCTTTGCCCGTGCTATACACACAGCTGCTGCTCACTAACTTGTAATTAGTAGAGTTTATAGTTCTTTTATGACCCATCCGGGATGTATAAATTGTTATGTACTCCCTCTAAGTGTAGTTGCGCACTTAAGTACATTTAAAAAGTAAAATTTCTGCGGTAAAATTTATCTAGTATGAATACATGTAAGTAGTAATTAGTACTTGTTCACCATTCATAGTTTCGCAGTGAAGCAAGGTATTTTCAATCTCATCAAAATAGAACGAGAATATTTCCTTAAAATAGTATTTTACTCCGCACGGAAGTAAGTAATAACATTCCAGCTTTCCATACAACGAGTTGATTCCGATCTTTCAGTTTCAATGGTAGCTTTTTAATGCTATAGTGGTCCAATATCGGCGGTTTACATAAATGAGCAGCCTGTGGGGAGAAATAGACTATTTAGAAATAGAATTTTTTATATATATATTTTATAGGGTCTCCAAAGTTTCTTTCTAGGTGTTGCAAACTTCGTGGTAAACTTAATATACCTTGTTCAGGTTATGATAAGTTAAGCGTACTCTGTTCAGAACTTCGTCTAATAATTAGGATTCATTTCATTAAAAATAATAAAAGAAAGACAATCGTTAAAAAGTTAACCTAACAGTTGTTTGCAAACCTGAACCTAATCGAGTTAGATATAGGATAATACAAGGTTATATGATTTAAAAAAAACACACTAATCGTTAAGGAAATTCAAATATTTTTTATTTAGTATGAAAGTAAAATTATGTTCTGAATTTAACATCATTCAAATTGCCTCCATGACTTTTTTTGCAGAAACGATTACGATGAACCCAGTTTTCGAGTACTTTTTGCATTAAATGAAGTCGTATGTCAAGTAGCGCATTGAATATTGACTTCTAAAGTTTGAAGTGGGTCTGTTTAATTGCTGAAGACCAATGACTTTAAATAACCCTACAAGACGTAATCTAATGACGTTAAATCACAACTTCTTGGAGGACATTCTACAAGTATGTCACAAAAATTCTTGAAATTATC